AAAAGGGGGTGATTGGGGGGTGTCTTACAGGGGATGGGTCTCGGGGCACTTACGTCCGTACAATACTTCGCGGGGGAGTACGCAAGGAGGATTAGTGTGGGAAGGGAAATCTCTAGGGTCGGGAGGGGTTCGCAGGAAAGTTCGTCTACGTTACGCGAATGAGGAAAACTTTGTGGTTGGAAAATGAAAAGGGGGACCCGTCTCTATGTCGAACAATGCGCGGGCGGAGAAAATAGCCGTTGCCTCGATCTTGCTAATACAATAATTACGATAAGGGACTCACCCCGAATCTCCTCGCACTCTCTCTTATACTCGCTTTCTCTAAAATGTTACACTCTCGATACTCTCTCTAGCGCGTAGCCTCAGGCTCAATTGACGGTTCGCCGTCGCTGCTGCGACGACGAAACCGTCGCGGGATGGTTTTGGGGAGGGGATGGGACTAGGAAGGGGGCCTCTTCCGGCAACGGGATAGATCGATTATCGATCTTCGATACACCGGTGCTCGGGGTCGATGGGGCTGGCGGATATCCCGCGATGACGGGTGGGTTGAGGTCTTCGGGCTCGGCGACAGATGGCTCCGGGTGGACGTTTTGCATCAGTTGGGCAGCTTCGTCTATTTCTTCGGAGTCCCATGTTGCTCCGTTTCCTTGGAGGAAGGGTTAGAGGTCTGTCGCCGGCCTCGTAGCTCCTTCTGCGGGTATTCCTTGTAGGTCTTCCGTCGCCTCCATCGGCCCGCCACCGGTGAGCAGGGGGAAAGGGTTAGGTGAGGGAAGGGTTACGGGTGGTTTTGAGGTGGAAGTGTAAAGTGGGAAAAACGCAGTGATTGTAACGGGGGGGCACGGGTGTCACCACGTTACAATATATATATATATATATACATATATAGGCCTATTTTCGATTCTGAGAGTTTTTCGTGTGTGCATTTATCTATGTGGAGTGGCGCCTCGTGTACGAGTATGCTAGCCTACTCGACACGCCCACTTCTAGGCTTGATGCGCACACTTAGTTCGAACTTATTTATCAATTTACTTTTCACCTCACCTGAACTCATCTAATGTCGACATACACTCACCAGTTTTGTATGGTTTCCCACTTTCTGTTTTTATGGATATCTCCTCACCGTCTATTTCTATTTTAACCTCATCTTTGTTATGTAGCTCGTCTAGTTTGAACATTTTTGTTAGTGTTTCCCACACTCCCGATAAACTGGTATCGGCTGAAAAATAATTTTCATTGTACGTTTGTTTAAGAAGCCCGTGTATGTGGGTGCTTACACACTGTAAGCTTAGTTTGCTTTAAAATTTAGTTTGCTTTCTCGCCTCGACTTACAAGTACATTTTTCATGGTTTTACGTTGTTTTTGGAACGATCTAGCGCGCAGTTGCAGGCACGTGCTTTTATATAGAGAGCGAGAGATGAAGGGGACGCCACCACGCTCTGTCTTCGTCCCACCTTGGTTTTCTCTCTCCTAGCGCACTGTGGCTGTCCCTCTCCCACTCACTCTCCTTTCTCTTTCTCACCCTCGCTTGCGCGCACGTGCCTGTGCCGGCCGACCTCTCACTACGCACCAGAAAATTTCCGTTACTTCAAATAAAAAGAACGTCCTTTCCAAAAACGTCTCGCCCCGCACACCGCGATGTTCCGCCATTTCTCTTTCGTCCGATTTTACCACGTGGTTTTACACCTCACCGTATTGACTTTCCGCATCAATTTAATTAATTCACACCGTTAATTTTTACCGAGGAAGAACTTTAGAAAATTCGTTTCGCTTTGTAGATCTCTTTTTTCCTCACCCATATTTCTTTGGCCTTTTATTTAAATGAGCGCAGTTGAAAACGTGCTGGTGCCCATAACCTGTTGTTTTTGGGGGATATCTGGCAGGCTTAATAATAATACGAGTGTGTTCACTTTCTGAATTCTATCTGTACATTTATTTCTATCTCCACTCTACACGTGCTTTCGCTTGCTTAGCTAGAGCGATAATAGACGGCTAGCTCTCTCTCTAGTCCCGCGCGCTCTGGGCCTTAAACTATACATGTAAGAGAGAGACGATTGTAGGGGGAGCAATCGTGCTGTACTCTTACAACAACCAAGCACCTGACAGATGCCAGAGCAGAAGTAAACAGACATACATAACCGATGAGTATAGCAATGAAGATAGGAGACCGAGTATAACCTAACAAATAATGACCATAGACTATATAAATCCATTGTTCAAATTTAATTCCCAAATTATTTCGTAGCAGAATAATAAATTAGCGATGAATATCGGGAACACCCAATTGCTCAGAAGAAACAGATACCTAAAAATATGCTTTGAACGGGAGACAGAAAATCAGGCCAAGTAAAAGAGCAAGAGCGAGACCATAAATCATAAAGTATATAGAGATAGAACCTAGTGTTCATAAAATTCCCTAGTTCACTCCATAATGGTTATCAACCGTCAAATTAACCATCAAACCATCAAATTAATTAATTATACAGAATATATAAGTGCTCATAAGTGAAAATGCATAAACAAAACAGTTTCAACAAATCAAAATGACCAAAACCAAAAAATAATGTACCTACAAAAGATAACCATAAGCCGCAAGCTACGCCTAGTTGGTAACCAACCGCAGCACCAAAGATATTACCAACAACAAATATTCCATTTACCAAACAATAATACTCGGCCGCTCACTCCGAAACGGCTATCCACAGATAAATTATCTGCCGCGCAGTAGTTACCTACCACGCGCCAATTACCCGTTACACAGTTACCGACTGCAGAACTGTTCATCGTGCTGCCGCGCAATGCTAGGAAACCATACTTACCATCAGACATACCATCAAGGATAAGTCTGGCATACAATACTTAAACGAAAAGATAATTCTGCTAAAATCAAAGCGATCACAGATAAACTTCCAGACGGGCCAACATCAGGAATTAATTAATTAATATATAAAGAAATAAGTCAATGCTATGATTATAAATATATTACATATATAAAACATCATATAAGTTTGTAATAAAATAAATAAAATAAAATATGATTATAAATTAAAACGTATAAAGTAGCCTGACAAAATGTAAGTCAATAAAATAATTAGGAAAATAAAATCAACCCGAATAAGCCCCGCAAATTGCGCAGATTGCAGGACGCACTGCGTTACTGCATTATCACGTCGCAGAGAAACAAATTATACAAAAACAACGAAGATAAAGGAAAACAATCGCCAAGGAATGAGAGGCCGAATAAATAAATAAAATAAGACCCTTAACCAAAGCAAAATCAATATCAAACGCATATAGTCAGGAAAATCCCGTGGAACCAATCAAACATCAAACAACACACAGTCAAATAACATTAATTAATAAAATGAAATGAAATAAATCAAACCAAAATAGAATCAAGGCAAGAAGGCAACTAATAGAAAGGAAATATGAAATGTGAGCCCGACATAATGCATGACGTAGTAAAATAATGCGACAAACGCGGTCACCAAAGTAAATCGCAAAATCATACATTATACTGCCGTACCGCTTACAGACAACACCGACAAATTATATCGATACAGCTAGCAAACAACGTAAAACAAATAATGAGAAATAAATGAAATAGATGAACAAGGTCGAAAATCGATCGAACCACAATAAATACATGAATAATGCCGAGCCAATCAAGAAGGTTGAATCAATCGATCAATTCAATTTATAAATCGGAATAAAGGGAAAACGATAGTAACTGAGAAAAAGGTGAACCCAGCATAATGAGCAAATAAATAAAATAAAATGAATGAAATAAGATGCAGTGAGGAAAGCAAAACAGCAAGATGAAAATACAAAATTATTCGGCCCACTGAAATAACGTATGATTATAAATAAATATTATATCCATAGGAAAGTTAATTACCGATAATGTGGCAGTGCATAAATAGCTGAACATAAGTTAACGCCACCAAATTGAGTATAGTAATGCTTCGAAATAAGCAAGTGACTCGGGACCGAACAGTTGCTTATTTCGAAGCAGGTTGCTATTCGGCTTGACTTTGTTCTCGAAACGGGACGATAGAGAACGCGAGAAACGAGTGAGAGATCCGAGGTAGCGGCAAATCATAAAGTGATCGGCCGAGCAGCGATGTTATTTTTTCAACAAGGATAGAATATAGCATGCCCTCTCATTCTCGCACTATGCTTTATTTCGAAGCAAATATACCCGACTGAGAAAGCATTATATATATTCCATCCTTCTTCTACTAACCGATGTCAATGCTCAGTCGAGCGTGAAATTTATTACCCTAAACATCGGTTTCGCGCTTTCATAGACCTCTTACTCATTTCTCGTACCTCTCACTTTGCGGGCGACTTCAAACAAAGAAGAGGGGATAGCGAGTTGCTTATTTCGAAGCAGAGACCACTTGCTTATTTCAAAGCATTACTGTAAATTGAGTGATTCCTACAGTGAGATAGTATAGTATACTAGAAGATACCCGCGACTTCGTTCGCGTTGAATTTTTTATTTTATTTTAATATATGTGCAATATCTTAATTGATATAACTGCATTACCTCAAGCGCGTATCATTAGAATCGCGCGTGACAAAAAATAACGCATCGATAACAGTACGTCATGGGTGATTTGGAAATCTATTATTACGGTTGTCGCCCTAATGCGCCATGCGCGATTCATATGATACGCGCTTGAGGTTATCCAAGCACTATGGTCGCCGCGGGGGCCAAGACGTGCGGCGCGGGAAAGGAGGCGTGACATCTGACAATCGGCCGAGAAGAGCAGTTAATTCCGAAACCTGATCTATAACATATTTGAAGCTCACGGAAATCTGTTCTTTTTATTTTTTGGAAAACAATAGGTAGCCTATGACCTTCCTAAGGATGCAATCTATCTCCTTGCCAAGTTTTATCGAAATCTGTTCAGCGGTTAAGGCGTGAAAAGGTAACAAACAGACAGACAGACAGACAGACAGACAGACAGACAGATAGACAGAGTTACTTTCGCATTTATAATATTAGTATGGATATTAGAACAAAGCAAAACTGTTGAGAGTGTGGTACATTTCTATATATTACATTCTCATAGATTCGAGAAGAGAGCGGTTGTATGGTACGTTATTTTGTGTATGGTGTCGTCGCAGTGGAAGCGTGCGTAGCGAAACATAGCGAGACGCAGTTTATATTATTAAGCACTGTATTCTTATCAATAATAAATATTGTATTCTTATCAAAAACAATATTGAAAACATACATATTGAAGACCGTAGAACAGATGTGAAGTATTGCAAGAATCACAAGAGTTTCACCAGCAGGAAGTAGAAGGAGAGTCGGAGGAGGACAATAAATCAAAGAAGAGAGAAATAGCAAAATACTAGTAAGTATAAAAGTAGGTAAGTAAATTAAGCCATAAGAGAGCCAATTCAGAGATAACGGGTGACAAGATTATTACAGAGATATAACCCTAACCCTAATGTGTCAAAGCAGGAAAGTGTCAGCAGGAATACAAAACCAACATAAAAGGACTCGTTAAAAGGAACAAGTTAACCAATTAAGAAGGTTCAATTACAACTGTGAGGAAAGAAAAGAAAAGAAGAAGAAAATGAAAAGGAAAAGGGACGAAAAGAACCAAGGTAAGGTAATAATAATAATAACATAATTGCAACACCATATAATAATAAAATAGCAGAAATAGCACATCTTAATGGCATAAATTAAAACTCTTACAGGAACACCACACTGTCATGTCGTCATGAGAGGGACAATACGATGCGAGCTATGGCAAAATGGTGAGAGACCTTTCTTGTGGGAAATTAAGTGTCCTACTATTTATGTTCTATGAAATTTTTTGATCAGATGCGTAGTTTTCGAGATATATAGAGATATTAAAAGTTCCGAAGACGCACGAACATAATAAAGATACGGAAACGCCGTGGCCTCTTTCCTTGAGATAACACTGCACTATTCCGAGCTGCAAATGCCACTTCCAGCTTAGCTGTGCAGAAGAAGAACAACAAGAAGAGGAAATATCTCGGAATATGTCCGTGAGGCCCCTTTCCTTGAGCTAAATCTGCAAATATCTCGGTAACGATGCGAGCTATGGCAAAATGTTGAGAGACCTTTTTTGTAGGCAATTAAGTTTCCGACTATTTACGTTGTATGATATTTTTTAATCAGATGCGTACTTTTCGAGATATATCGAGATATTTAAAAGTTCCGAAGCCGCACCAACATAATAAAGATACAGAAACACCGTGGCCCGTTTCTTTGTGACAACTCTGCGTTATTCCGAGCTGCAAATGCCACTTCCTGCTTAGTTGTGCAGAAGGAGAACAACGGAGAAGAAGAAATATCTCGGAATATGTCCGTGAGGTCCCTTTTCATGAGCTAAATCTGCAAATATCTCGGAAACGATGCCAGCTATGGCAAAATCTTAAGAGACCTTTTTTGTGGGAAATTAAGTGTCCTACTATTTATGTTGTATGAAATTTTTTGATCAGATGCGTAGTTTTCGAGATACATCGAGATATTTAAAAGTTCGGAAGACGCATGAACATAATAAAGATACGGAAACGCCGTGGCCCCTTACCTTGAGATAACTCTGCACTCTTCCGAGCTGCAAATGCAACTTCCAGCTTAGCTGTGCAGAAGAAGAACAACAAGAAGAAGGAATATCTCGTAATATGTCCCTGAGGCCCCTTTCCTTGAGATAAATCTGCAAATATCTCGGAAACGATGCGAGCTATGGCAAAGTGATAACAGGCCTGTTTTGTAGGCAATTAAGTTTACAACTATTTATGTTCTATGATATTTTTTGATCGGATGCGTAGTTTTCGAGATATATCGAGATATTTAAAAGTTACGAAGCCGCACCAACATAATAAAGATACAGAACCACCGTGGCCCCTTTCTTTGAGATAACTCTGCACTATCCCGAGCTGCAAATGCAACTTCCAGCTTAGCTGTGCAGAAGATGAACAACAAGAAGAGGAAGTATCTCGGAATATGTCCGTGAAGCCCCTTTCCTCGAGCTAAATCTGCAAATATCTCGGAAAGGATGCGAGCTATGGCAAACTGTTAAGAGACCTCTTTTGTAGGAAATTTGGTTTCCTACTATTTATGTTCTATGATATTTTTTGATCAGATTTTTGATCAGATCTAGCTAAGCTGGAAGTGGCATTTGCAGCTCGGAATAGTGCAGAGTTATTTCAAAGAAAGGGGCCACGGTGTTTCTGTATCTTTATTATGTTGGTGCGGCTTCGGAACTTTTAAGTATCTCGATATATCTCGAAAACTACGCATCTGATCAAAAAATATCATAGAACATGAATAGTAGGAAACTTAATTTCCTACAAAAAAGGTCTCTTAACATTTTGCCACAGCTCGCATCGTTTTCGAGATATTTGCAGATTTAACTCAAGGAAAGGGGCCTCATCTGTAATGTACATTTAACAACCAAATCAGTATTACCATATCTACATTAGATATAATGTAATATACTGATTCATTCCCACCGATCAATGGACATTTAATAACAATATCATTGGTACTATATCTACATTCGATAGAATGTAATATACTCATTCATTCCCACAGATCAATGTACATTTGATTAGAACATCATTAGTACTATATCCACATTACATATAATATATAATACTGATGCCTTCCCACAGATCAGTGTACATTTAACAACAATATCATTACTACTATATCTACATTCGATATAATGTAATATACTGATTCATTCCCACCGATCAATGGACATTTAATAACAATGTCATTATTACTATATCTACGTTGGATATGATGCAATATACTGATTCCCTCCCACCGATCAATGTACATTTAATAACAATCTCATTATCACTACATGTACGTTGGACATAATGTAATATACTGATTCCTTCCAACACATCAATGTACATATAATAGCAGTATCGTTATTACTATATCCACATTACACATAATCTAATATACTGATTCCCACCCACAGATCAAGGTACGTTTTATAACAATATTATTACTACTATATGTATATGACATTATGTCCAATGTAAATTTAGTAATAATGATATTGTTATTAAACATACATTGATCTGTGGGAAGGAATCAATATATTACATTATATCGAATGTAGATATAGCGCGAGTGATATTGATGTTAAATGTACATTGATGTGTGGGAATGAATCAGTATGTTATATCGAATGTAGATATAGTGCTAATGATATTGTTATTAAATGTACATTGATCTGTGGGATGGAATCAGTATATTACATTAAATCGAATGTAAACATAGTACTAATGATATTGTTATTAAATGTACATTGATCTGTGTGAAGGAATCAGTATATTACATGATATCAAGTGTAGATATAGTACTGATGATATTGTTATTAAATGTACATTGATCTGTGGGTAGTAATCAGTATATTACATTAAATCTAGTGTAGATATGGTAATAATGACATTGGTACTAAATGTAGGTACATTGATCTGTTGGAATGTATCACTATGACATTATATCGAATGTAGATATGGTAATAATGATATTGTTATTAATTGTACATTGCATATCTAATGTAGGTATAGTACTAATGATATTGTTATTAAATGTACATTGAAATGTACATTGCGCTTTTTTCCTCGGAGGACTGCCTCCACGTAGGTTGCTATCCTCCCCCATACTCGGACGTCGGAGAGCATCCGCCGAGTGATGTTGTCCGGCGTTATCCTCCCCACATCCCTCTTTAAATTAGTCCTCTCCACACTCCACTCCTTGCACTGGAAGAATGTGTGGAGGGCGTCATCTTTTTCTGCTTCGCAGTGGGCGCAGCCTGGGTCCTCCTCCTTTTTCCTTGTATAGAGGTAGTGGCGGAACAGTCCATGCTTGGTCAGGAACTGCGTCAGGATGTAGTTGTTCTCCCCGTGTTCGCGGCTAGCCAACTACTCACATCCGGTTTGAGGCGAGCTGTCCACCGGCCGCGGGTCTCCAGCATCCACCGATTCTGCCAGGTCTTCATGGCGTCGCGTCTTGCCGCTGCCTTGGCCTCGTCCCTTCCTAGTGCGGCTCGTTGCTCGTAGGCCACCTTTCTCTCCTGGCCTGCAGGTCGATGGGCATCACCCCGGCCACGACCATGACCGCAGGCTCAGAGACGGTCCGATAAGCGCAGGCCACACGCAGAACACCTCTCCGGTGCACGGACTCCATGTGCTTCCTGTACTTATCCACCCGCAGTGCGTCCGCCTAAATCTCGGCTCCGTAGAGCATTATGGCCTCAGCAGTGCGGAGAAGTAGCCGGCGCTTACAGGGTCGCGGGCCCCCAATGTTTTTCATTAAGGTGCTGATCGCAATTGTCACCTTCACCGCCTTGTCGCAGGCCTTCCGGAAATGATCCCAATAGGTGAGCTTGGAATCTAGAGTCACCCCCAGGTACCTTACGGCCCTCTTGGTTTCGAGCGTCACGTCCCCAACCATCATAGGTAGTGAGGCTGGTATGCACTTCTTTGTTAGCAGCACTAACTCCGTCTCCGCTGTTGCCAACGAGTCCATGTTCCTCCATCCAAGCTCTGACCCGTCGCATGACTTGGTTGAAGCGCATCTGAAAGGCTTCCAGCCCCCGCTCGACCAGTATGACTCCAACATCGTCCGCATATCCAACGAGATATGCACCTGCGGACATGTGTATACACAAGATCCCGTTGTAGAAAATATTCCACAAATCCGGGCCCAATATGGAACCCTGTGCCGCCCCTGCGGTCAGCTCTTTCCTCGCTGGGCCGTCCAAAGTGTGGTACGTTATGAAGCGGGACCTCAGGTAGTCGTCCAGAATACGTAACAAATATTCTGGAACACGGAATTCCCGCTCCAGTGCCATCAAGATCTTTTGCCACCCAACAGAGTTGAATGCATTCCTCACGTCCAATGTTACTAGCAGGCACATTGGACGCGAGTAATGGTTCCCCCGTTCGGTAGCGCGTGCGGCTGTTACCATCTCCTGGACCGCGTCGATGGTTGACCGTCCCCTGCGGAAGCCATACTGGCGCGGAGCAAGGCCACCAGCCGCCTCCACTGCTGCTTGAAGCCGTGTCTTCAATAGCTTTTCCAGCACCTTCCCTGCCGTATTAAGCATGCATAGCGGCCGGAAGGATGAAGGAGAATCTGGTGGCCCCTTACCCTTGCTGATCAGCACCAACCGCGCGCACTTCCAGCGGGAGTAGAAAACTCCGGCCTTCAGGCAGGCGTTATACATGTTCAGCAAGAGCTCGGGATGACTGCTAGCCACCAGCTTTATCAGCTCCGGAGAGAGCCCATCAGGTCCTGATGCTTTTTTGTTCCGGAGCGAACTTACGGCGGCGACGAGCTCTTCGCGAGTGAAGGGGGCGCATTTGGCTCCCACGTCGGATGCTGACGTTCCGATCTTTTAGGGTGATCGGGGAACAGGGTGTCCACAATGTGCCTCATTGTGCAGGAGTCCATTGGACCCACAGCTACTTGGGCCCCGAGCTTTTTCTTGACAACCCTATATCCTAGGCCCCAAGGGTCCCGGTTAAGGTCATCCCCTAGTTGTTGCCAGCACCGACGCTGGCTCACTCTAATTGCGTGGCGTAACTCCCGTCTGGCCGCCTTGTAATCGGCAGTCGATTGGGGTGCCACATCCTCCCTTCGTCTGGCCCGTTGGGCTACCCGTCGGAGCCTCAAGCACCTGCCCCTGAGCGCCGCTATTTCGGCAGTCCACCAGTATACTGGTCACCGGTGACCTATCCGCACCCTCGGCACTGAGAGCTCACAAGCCCGTTGGATATGAGCCATTGTCTGACTGGCTAACCGCTCAGCCTTCTTCCTTGGGTCAGTACCACGGGGGATACTCTCCAGGGAGGGTTTCCCAAGCTCTAACGCGTGAAAGAGAGCTTCGTGGTCAGCTCGGTCCGCTCTCCACTGGTAACGCGGTTGTGCAGCGTATACGCGACGCGGCGCGCGATGTCGGACCGAGTAGGTGATATACTGGTGATCACTACTGGTATAATCCTCGATCACGCGCCAATCGTGCACACGCGCCTCCAATGCCTCGGTGGAGAAGGAAATGTCGACAATGGTCTGCCGATATCCTGGTCTCCGGAAGGTCGAGGTTTGACCGGAGTTCAGCACTACCAGGCCCAGTCTGGAGGCCATCTCCATGACCCTTCGACCCCTGGAGTCCGGCTCCATTCCCCATTCCACGGCCTTCGTGTTGAAGTCACCAGCAACGATAACCTCACAACTCATGTCTCGGACCGCGTCCTCTAACCCGTCCAGCTTCTCTTGGAAGTCGCCTATTCTTTCATTGGGGTGAAATAGCAGCTGACATACGTGACGTCGCCACTGCCTACCCACACGAACCCGCGACCCGTCCCCCGACGCTCCACCGTGAATCGGCGTGGGTCTGGAATCCAGATCGCGGCTGTCCCGAGCTCGTCCGATTGCCAGCCGGTCCCGTCTCTGTCCTGATATTGTTCGCTGATGAGCACTATATCAGCATCCTTTTCGAGACAGAGCTGTGTGAGGAGGTCGTGAGCTGTCCTGCTCCGATTCATGTTTGCCTGTAGTACTTGCACGATTATGACGTTCCAGACTTTGCTAGGGCTTCCCGGAACACCCTGCATTCGCCAGATCCCGCCAAGTGCTTTCTCGTATCTGGGTCGGTGTTAACATCAGCACAAAGGAAGCACTTAGGGCTTGCCGTGCAATCAGCCGCCTTATGTTCCAAGTTGCCGCACTTAAAGCACATGGTACTTCGATGGGGCCCCTTGCACCCGCGTCGTTCATGGCTATATCCCAGGCACCGGAAGCATCGCGTTATTTGCTTTCGGCGCCTGATCCTGCAGTTCACCCATCCAACTCTAAGGTGAGACTGCTCCAGCAGCTTGTTGGCGGCATCTTCGCTAACAGTGAGGATCGTCATCCGTTGTTCCGCCTTATTAGGTCTGGTTAACCTTAAAACGAGAGGCCCGTCATAGCCCGGTAGCTTGCCTTTCACAGCTACGACTACCTCTTCTTCAGTGGTGCAGCAATCCATATCCCTGACTTCCAGAACAGCTCTAGGTATCAGGACTCGCACACTGCCAGCATCTCCTATCGCCTTCTGCAAGGCACTGGTGAGGCCGTCTCTGTTCTCCGCTATAGTTTTCTTCAGCTCCCCGTTCCTCGTCCGCCGAATTGCACCGATGTTCACTCAGTACTTCTCGGGGTCAACCTGGCTTCGGATGACTCCCAAGATTTCCGCGTAGCTTTTGCCTTGCGCGGGTTTGAGGGCGATGGCCTCTGGGCGGGCACGCTTCTTTGTTTTCCCTTTCCGCGACTTCGTCCCTTCGCCCGTTGCCGCGTTCCCGTTTGCTGACTGCAGCGGAGGGCTATTCTTCTTGTTCTTCTTCTTCTTCCCCTTCACGGTCACCTCCGTCCATTCCGTTTGGGTGGTAGTGGCTTCTTCCTTCTTCTTCTTCCCGGCGTTGAGCGCCGGGGGCAATGGTGGACTACTGGCCGTCCGTTTCTTATTTGCAGCAGCCACCACCGCCGCCGCCGCCGGACTGGCCAATGCTGCCGTGCAGAAGGTAGGGGTCGGAGGCAGTGATGCCAGAACCATGGAACGTGAGACAAATCTTTACCCTCTCCACGACGTCCCACGACGTCCCAGTGACTACCCTACCGCAGTTGTTTCATCTAACACAAGCGCGTTGTCCCACGTGTCCGTGTGAGCTCTGCAGGTTTGGCAGAGTTCGGCTGCTCTCGTCATTTCTACGTTATCGGCTCGATGCTCAAGCCGCTAAAGCACGTGGCAGTAGCATCGACGAATCGACAAAATAATATAATTTCGTCCATGGCAATATGGCTGAATTAAGAAACCAGGAAAATCAGTTCGAATCCCGATTTTACGGTTTCAGTTCTGATTCTTAATGCATTAACGTTTTTTAAATACATAAAAATACATTTTTAATACATTAATACTATGAAATACATTAACTTGGGAAGCAGTTAAAAAAAGGAGTTGAACTGCATCTTTCTTTGATATTTTTTTAATTAATATTTAAGTGTTATGTATATACATATGTATGTACGTACATATAATAAAAGTACGTGATACAGAAGTAATTTCTTCAATTAGATATTACTGTTATTCTAACTATTGCAATACGTAAATCCGAATACATACGAGGAAAATTGGCTAGGTTAAATTGTAAGGATATAAAGAAATTTCAATCTTTAACGGTTTGTCAGTTTTATTTCTTATTCCTTACAACTATTATAATTTTATTCTCTGAATGGTCATTACAATGAAAGATGGATTAGATACAATTGCATTCCTCATTTAATCTATACTAATATATAAAGCTGCAAGCATTTTCTTTGTTCGGGGTAATCTCCAAATCTGCTGCTTCGATTTTGATCCGATTCTTTTTTATGTGTTCCTTATAACCTTGCGAAGGACATAGGCTCAGTTTTATTACGCTGTTGCATCGGGAAACGTGTAAAATATTGTTTATTTCGTTTGTGTCAATCGTAGCGCAGAACAGTTCAGCAGAACTGCTAATCCCCACCGCTGCTGTGATTACATAGTAGTGGGAATATCTTCGTACCTCTGCGGTGGGGATGAATGGTGGCGCTGTCGGTGCTGCTTCCCGCATTCAGCATTCATCTTTTTTTCTCATACACTCACAGACAAAATACCACCCGGGCAGCGCCGGGTAACACAGCTAGTTTGTTATATACATATCAGGTTTCTTGCAACTATTGCACCTGGTCCACGCTTATACGATATTGCATATTTTACTTTCCTATAATACAACAAGGAAACAAAACTATAATATAGTGATTACCATAATACAATAGAAAATGTTAAGCTTGGTATAAACCGTATGTTTTTTTTGTGTACCTATGATGCACTTTCGCTTCGTTGCTTTATAATTACTAATGACTGATTTTTCTTTTGAATGAAACTTCCACTAGCGTATTGATGAAATTTTTCGATTAAAACAAGATCAAATACGACATATATTTGCATTAGGTTTTAAATAAATAAGTAAATATAATGCAAATTATGTCGTGTTTGGTCTTATTTTCATCAGAAGAATGTTACAATTACATTGGTAAAAGTTTCATTTAGCAAAAATGAAAACTAAAAAAGTTATGGTTGAATGAATATTGTCTCACTCAAATGTTTTTTTTCGGGCTCTTTAATTCTCGGACCTCTTTCTCTTTCGCTATTTGTGCTTTTCTACGTTCGCCAGCATTCAAGAACTCGCTCGAGCTATGTCGTTCTGCCAGCGTCACATTTTCGTTACCTATTCATCGAATATTTGGGCGTAACGCAAAATCAAAAGAGTCCAGTAAAAGAACACATTCTATGCTGAAAGAATATACTAAGTTATCTGTCTAAAAAATAGTAAGAAATCTGACAACAGATTTTTTTCTGGCTGCTTTTCTTAAGTAATGAGCATTTTACCAGTCTCCTGTATAGAATCGTGTGTATTAGTTTGGAGCAGAATAACTGAACATTTCGCATAATAGAAATAATTAGATGGTATAAATAAAATATGAACCAAATTTCAACCACATGGGTTATGCCGATATCCGACAGATCAGCGAGGTTAAGCCTTACTTGACTGCGGTTCACAGAAAGATGGGTGAACGCCCGCTTTGCTTCTGTGGTTTCTTGTTTGAAATTAGCAAAGCAGCAAGTCGGAAGAGAAAAAAGAAAGGGAGAGATAGGAGGGAACAATTAAATGAAATTGTGGATATGGGATTGATTAAATCTTCGAGGAAGATTGAAGTATGGTGGGGTGTGTGTGAGGAAATGTGATTGAAATTTGGTCGCTAAGAAATCGGACTAAAATACGTCTCTCTCAGATTTACGAAGAGAGAAGGAGACAAAATGGTTAAATTAAAATATAATGTATACTATCCTTGAAACAGAAAGAAAATGTATCAGTTCAGGAGGTCCGATTTTTTATAAAACAAAATTTTTTTTTTATGTATCCTATACATTTATGAATGAATGTATGTACATATGTGATACGTACAGAAGTTATATTTCCAATTAAATGTTACTTCAACTATTACAATACTTAAAGGCGAGTATAATGCGTAGGGAATTGGGTTAGGTTAGGGTTAGGTTAGTTTATAAATAAATCTATAATCTTTTCAGGTTTGTTTCTTTTATTTATTTTTTATTTTTGAAAGATACAAAGATACTACAATTGTATTGTTCAAATAATATTCAGTATATATCATGTGATGTTTGACAACCTCTGCAGCTGACCAACGCACGGACGATGTTTGATGGTCTTCTTCCATCCTATACATAAAAAAAATACAATTTAAATCGCGAATATAATGATATATAATACAAATATATAGATTCCTATTAACTTATCTTTTTTCGTGTGTAATTGTTCTGCATCTACGTTTCCTCCCTTCTCGGTTGAAAGTTCGTGTTGTCCGAATCCATGCCGCTCATCCACGGTCTTCTTCCGTCCTATGCATAAGAAAGAAAAATACAATTTAAATCTTGAATGTAATGATACATGTTAAAAATATGTAAGTTGCTATAAACTTATCTTTTTTTCGTGATGTTACAATGCATCTACGTTTCTTTACTTCTCACGAGGAAAGTTTCCACGTGTTATGTTCAGTTGTTAATGCAACTGTGCCACCTTATTATGGTTCATCCAGCTGAACACGTTTGCACCCCATTATGGGGGAAAGCAGGTAATTGTTAAGAGGTATTGACAATTCAAGTTAGTTACTCGTTACATTCGAAAGTAAAATGCACTCATACATACAAACGGTTAACTCCGTGGTCAGACACATGATTGGAAATCCGAAGATCCTCGGTTCCATATGCCGGCTCCCCTCGAATTCGTTGTTGATAGGTACTTTAACACGTTGAGCGCGGTGTCGATCCCTGGGGACCGACTATGAACTTTCCGTTTGGCCGGCGTCGGGAAACATGAATTCACCATTACTTTAGCGCCGACTATAGTCGTCACTCGGAGGAAAGGAGATAAATTCTTATCTTACAAATATTCATCTTTCTTGATATCCATATGCTGAATATCACGTTCGCTTTCGTCGATTGACGAATTTGCAGATAATGCAGTTGCATCGTTTGTACAATGCGATTCATATGTCAATAGTAATGTGTCTCACATTAGACACATTAACTCTTTAACTGCGGGTACTTTTAGTACAGCCGATTACATTCATTCAGAAATTCTAATAATTCGGTAATTCAGTGATTGTGAAACTTGTTGAGCCTATCCGTCCCTTTTTAAGATGAGGCTAGTGCCCATAAGTGGGCGGTATCTTTCCCTTGGGGACATTTATTTACTCCGTTTATCCGAATCAGTTAATGATCAGCTTCAAATATAGAAACTTATAGCTGAGCTCCTATTATTCGATTACAGACAATCGTATCCACTTATAACAAATACTTGTATCGTAACAACGTTGCGTGCCATGTTATGTCATGTATAGTGAGTAACAGCCAAAATTGTACACCACACATCATTTTTTATTTTGGCTAAAAAATACAGTGTATTAACGCGACACTTCTGTAACAATATTCCGTGTGTACAGTAAAAGCTAAATAAATGCAAGGGGACTATCCCCTCCACGTGGAGGGATCCGCTTTGACGAAGCTCGACGCTTGACAAGGAATCGGTGTAATATTATTCGAATATCGGTGTGACTAATATTAATTCAACGATGAAACTTTTTTATTTTTGACTGTTTCTTAATGAAACTTTTACTAACGCATTTTTTCTGATTACAATGAAACCAAATACGATATACTTTGAATTATATTAACAGAAAATACAAAATAATAATAAGGGGATAATATAAAAGATCAATGCAGCACATAGAATCGATACTTAGGATGGTTATATGTAATGTTTGAGTTCCAATCTCTCTTGCATCTATCCAGCTTTTACATCAGTATCAACAAGTAAATATAATTCAAAGTACAGTAATGCTTCGAAATAAGCAAGTGACTCGGGACCGAACAGTTGCTCATTTCGA